TGGACACTGGGAAGAGGTAACTATCGGGAGGAAGTGGGAGGGGAGCTGTTGCATTGTGGTAAATTGTAGTCAATGTCATGAGACAAAGTGTACGTGAGCTGCTGTATAGAAAATGAATTTTCTGTGTAAATTTCACCCAAATCACAATGAAAAAGAAAAAGAAAAAAAGGAACCAAATGGCATAACGCATTGGGCACATCTGTCCCAAAAGATCTCTTTAAAGTGTTAAAAAGCAAAGATGTCACCTTGTGGACTAATGTGCGCCTAACCCAAAGCATAGTATTTTTAGTCGCCTCACATGCATGCGACAGCTGGAGAATGAATAAGGAAGACCAAAGAATCGATGCCTTTGAATCATGGTGTTGGTGAAGAATATTGAATATTCCATGGACTGCCAGAAGAAATACAGCAAGGATGCTCCTTAGAAGTGAAGATGGTGAGACTTCATCTTACATACTTAGGACATGTATCAAGAGGGACCAGTCCCTTGAGAAAGACATCATGCTTCATAAAGTAGAGGGTCAGTGGATAAAAGGAAGACCCTCAACAGATGGATTGACACAGTGGCTGCAACAATGGGCTCAAACACAGCATCAACTGTGAGAATGGTGCAGAACTGGGCAGTGTTTCTTTCTGTTGTACATGGGTCTCTATGAGTCAGAACCAAACAACAACAAATGTATGTAAAGTGCCTGGCATGTAGCAGGTACTCAGTAAGTAGCAGCTATTATTTTAATCATTATTATTGTAGGTAGACCCATCCGAAGTTTGTTCTAACAGCTAAATATATAATTTACATTATAATAACTAAAAAAATTTATCCTCTGCAGGCACAGATGTGTGGCTCCACAATTGAGTCTGCAGCAGCTGGGAAATTATTCCAAGCTCTTGGCCCAGTGTCTCAGCAACATGATCTGAGGATGGCAACCAGGGCACTTTGGGGCAGCCTGGGCCTGTTCCGTGTGGTGTGGTGTCTCCTTCCACAGACAGGCTATGTGCACCCAGATGAGTTCTTCCAGTCACCTGAGGTCATGGCAGGTAAAGCTCCCCAGGGGTGATCAGGATAAGTTGCAGCGAAGCCTGGCTGTCTGGATACTGAGTTGGGAGGAAGAAGCATGCCTGTGCACATGGGCAGTAAATGCATGAGTGAAGCTACAGCCTCTCTGGGATAAGACTTGGGAGTGGGAACTTCACATCTCCTTCCTGAGTGGTGACACTCACCTTCTGGATGATATTGTTAAAACACCAGCACCAAACTCTTTCGTGTTTCTCTGCCTTTACCAAACACTCAAGATTCAGGCTTTCTTTGGGCCTTGGGAACCAAAGCCCCTGACAACTGCCACAGGTATGTGGGTTTGGCATCTGTGGAGTATTTGTATTAATAGCTGCTGCCTGTTTGAGCCAACAGTATAAGTCATTCAGAAAGAAAGCAGCATTGGACTTCTTGGTGAAGGGATTTTACAGCTCTGCTTCCCTGGTGGTTGGGGAAACCTACACAAGGCTGTGGTTCCAGAAAATGAAACTTTTATTCTGCAGATTGATGTCAGGTATGAGGGAACTCAGACCTGGGATGTTCACTAGTTAGAATTTAACTGCTAAGAGGGTGTGGGGCACATCCAGGAGCCTAGAGCCTTTTCAGTGCTATGAGTAAATGGCTTCCTCCTCATGGTTTAAAATGGCTGCTAGAGCTCCAGCCATAAAATCTACTTCCCAGCCAACAGAAAGGAAATGGCCATGCCTACTCCATTTAAGGTCATTTTTTGAAAGCTGCATGGTTTTCTCCCACTTACATGCTCAGAATGTATCACATGACCATGCCTAGCTGCAAAGGAAATTTAGAAATGTAGTCTTTATACCTAACCAAGGGCCTGATTAAAGAAAGGGATTTTATGACTAAGGAAGAGGGGCGAATGAATATTCGTAAGAGTGAATTGGCACTCTCTACTTCCTTTCTGTATTTGATAATCCATTGCAATTGCCACACAGGACTCACAGACCATCCTTTCAGTTAAGTGGTTTATTAATGAACAGGATACAACTTGGGATGGGGATCAGAAAATATGTAGGCAGAAGTGTCTCTTCTTCAGTGCAGGACAGTTTTCTCAACTCTTCTTAGCCTCCTGAGGACAGGCTCCTTTTGGCTCTGATGCCTATCACTACTGACTCTGCACTATCCAGGCCTACAGTCAGAAGCTGTGCCATTGGACCCCTTCCACTCAGTGTCTTCAGTGTTACAGGCCTTGACCACTGTTACAGCACTTTTAGAAAGTTCCCTGCCTCCTCTCTCTCTCTGTTTCCCAACCTGCTCCTTCTGTCATCAAAAACCTTTGTGTGGTTGGCTGCACATACACACAAGTAGTTTGTCAATTTCAAGGCATGGCCTTCCCAGTGGTGGGGGGACCAACTGACCAATCCCCTCTCAGTAGGCCACAGACAGTTCATTTGCATAGTATATTAACTAATCCCCACAAGATGCACACTAATCACAGGGCAGGCTGCAACCCAGGACTAGACAAAAAGTGTCTAACCAAGTTGTTCCTGCGTATCCAGGAAATGCCAATCAACCTGGACAAAAGTAACACACTCTGGGATAGAGAAGGAGGGCAAAAATAACTCCTCAGGATTTAGGGGGTAAATCTCTCAGGCAGGATTTAAAAAGAACCAAGGCAAAAAGTCACATAAAGGAACTCTTCATCATAGGGAGATGTGTAGATGTCTCTGCCACAGGGCTCAACAGATGGATTTGATTTTAAAGCTCAAAAGTCCAATCTTCTTTCCCTCATTTTTTTTTTAACCTAAGTCAGTAAAACACAGCCACATTGATTTGGATTTTCTATTTCCCTCTCGCCTTCTGACATAGAGAAAATGGCCAAAGGTTGGAAGACTGAGTAGGAGAAGCAAAGAGCCTGAGTGATCCCCTGGTTGTAGAATTAGCTCTAAACAACCAGGAATGCTATCAAAGGTGAGATGTTGTGGATATGGGGCTTGGAGTTGAGTTGTAGAAACTGAGTTTTGTTTCCCTAAGGCCTCCCCCATCTCTACCTTTCTGAACTCTGGGATATTGGGGCACAGTGTCTTAGACCAGCCCTGTTGTTGTTGTTGTTATGTGTTATCGAGTCAGCCCCAACTCATAGCGACCCCTCCTTGGTTTCCGAGGCAGTATCACTACGGAAGTAGATTGCCCCACCTTCCTTCCGAGGAGTGTCTGGTGGGTTTGAACTGCCAGCCTTCTGGTTCGCAGTTAAGTGCCTTAGGCACTATGCTACCAGAGCTCCTAGACCAGCCCTGGACAGCTTTTTTTTTTAATTACATAGAACTGCTTGAATACATTCTTCTCATAAAAAAACCAAAACTATTAACAGAGAAACGAAAAGTCCCCTTTGATCATACCCTTGTTGCTCATTGCTCCATTTTCACACCCCTTCTCCTGGACAGGGGCGGATTACCCAGTAAGCAAGGTAAAACCCACTGCCATCAAGTCGATTCCGACTCATAGCGACCCCCATTGGGTTTCCAAGGCTACAAATCTTTACAGAAGTAGATTGCCTTATCTTCCTCCTGTGGAGCAGCTGGTGGGTTTGAACAGCCAACCTTCTGGTTAGCTGTCAAATGCCTATGAACTGCACTACGAGTGCTCGTAAGCAAGGTAAGCATAAGCTTATTTGTGCTTACTAGTAAGATCCATGTGGATTTGTTCAGTATGGATCAGGAAGTAATCACAAGTAAGCCCATGCTTACCTTGCAAACAGGACACTCCATCACTGTCAGGAAGTATAAATTTGAAAAGAGGCTTTGACTCCATAGGAAAATGCTGTGGGTTTGAGAGAGACAGACAGCAGCCATACCTAGAAGCAGAATCTTTGATGTGAAAAAATGTGAACATTTTCACCACAGATCAGTAAATAAACACAAGTAAGTTCATACTTACCTTGCTGATTGTGTAATCTGACACTGCTCCCGGATCACAATCATTATCACCGAGATAAGGTTTTTGAGTCTGAATTTTGAGATCTTAGAGCTATGAGACCAGGAAGGAGCCTCACCCTGTTCCTTCCCACACCTTGTCCAGGGAATATCGCCAACTCATCTTCCAGGGCGGTTCCTCCTGCTCCTTTCACAAAGTGGGGCCTTTGAAGGGCTGAGCTCCTCTTTATCATTTCTATGCTGCATTAGAAATCACCATAAATTTAGAGGCTTAAAGCTGCCTCCTTGTTGACTCACAGTCCTATAGGTCAGAATCTAGCACCATGTGGCTGGGCTCTCTGCTCAGGATATCATAAGGCTGAAACCAAACTATGGGCTGGGCTGCATTCTTGTCTGAAAGCTCTGGGAAAATCTGCTTCCAAGTTCATTCTTGTTGGCAGAATTTAGTTTCTTGTGGCTATGGGACTTGGGTCCTGTTTCTTTATCTGGGGCTGCTGTCAACTACTAGAGGCTGCCCGCATTCTTGCCAAAGACTCCTCTCCCTCTTCAAGCCAGCGATGAAGCATCATATCCTCCTCAAGTTTGGGATCACTGACTGCCTCTTCTTGACCAGTTGGAGAAAGTGCTCCACTTTTAAAGGGCTTCTGTGATTAGGCCAGACTCACAAGGTAATTTCCTTATCTTAAGATCAGCTGTGCCATATAACATAACATAAACACAGAAGAAAAGTCCATTGTAATCATAGTCCTAGGGATTGTGCATAGCGTGTACACTGGGAGAAGGAGCACTCATGGCGCAGTGGTTAAGCGCTGGGGGTCTAACCTAAAAGTCAGTGGTTTGAACCCACCAGCCACTCAACAGGACAAAGATGTGGCAGTTCACTTCCATAAAGATTACAGCCTTGGAAACACCATAGGGCAGTTCTACTCTGTCCTATAGGGTCGCTATGAGTCAGAATCTACTCGGTGGCAGGGAGTTTGGTTTTGGTGCACTAACCAAAAAACCAAACTGACTGCCATCAAGTCTATTCCAACTCATAGTGACCCCCATTGGGGTAAATCTTTGCATAAGTAGATTGCCCCCATCTTCCTTCCGTGGAGCAACTGTTAGGTTTGAACCGCCAACTTTCTGGTTAGCCGTCAAATGCCTTAAGCACTCTACCACTCTTTTGGTGCACTGTTGTTGTTGTTGTTATTTGCCATCCAGTCAGCCCTGACTCCTAGCGACCTCTCCTTGGGTTTCCGAGGCAGTTATCACTATGGAAGTAGGATTGCCCAACCTTCCTTCCGGGGAGTGGCTAAGGGGCGGGAAATCCTAGAATTCCACCTCCCACATGCCCTGAGCTTGGTTGGTACTGGCTCACCTCTGCCTCTCTCTCCACAGAAGACATCTTGGGCATGGAGGCCGCAAGGCCCTGGGAGTTTGGCCCCAGCAGCTCCTGCCGCACGGTGGTCTTCCCACTGCTGACCTCTGGCTCTGCCTTCTGGCTGCTCAGGCTCTGGGAAGAGTTGGGCCTTTGGCCTTCCCCGGTGAGTGGCTACATGCTGCTGGTGGGGCCCCGGCTCCTGCTCACCATCCTCTCCTTTGCCCTGGACGGGGCTGTGTACCACCTGGCCCCCCTGTGGGGGGCAGATCGCTGGAACGCTCTGGTCCTCCTTGCTGGTTCCTACGTCACCCTGGTCTTCTACACAAGGACCTTCTCCAATACCATTGAGGGACTGCTCTTCGCGTGGCTGCTAGTTCTTGTATCCTCCCGCGTAGCTGGGAGCCCCGCACACAAGCAGCGTGCTCCAGGCCACTGGTGGGACAGGTGGCTTCTTGGGGGTGTTGTGGCTGCTGGCTTCTTCAACCGGCCCACTTTTCTGGCTTTTGCTTTGGTCCCCCTCTTCTTCTGGGGCATTGGTGGAGCCTCCAACCTTGGCTTCAAGTCACTGGCCCATGAGGCTTTGGCACTGCTCCCAGGGGTGGTCCTCACTGCAGCGGGATTTGTGGCCACAGACAGCTGGTACTTTTCCAGCCCATCTAGAGCTAGTGCATTGGTTCTGACACCTGCCAACTTCCTGCACTACAACCTGGACCCCCAGAACCTGGCAAGGCATGGCACGCATGTGCGGCTTACCCACCTGGTGGTCAATGGCTTCCTGCTTTTTGGGCTGCTGCATGCCCAGGCCCTGCAGGCTATGTGGAAGCAGCTGCAAGCCTGGTCCTGGGCCTTTGTACAAATGGGCTTCCTGAGGGCACTGGGTGCCCAGAGCCTGCTGTCCAGCCCCAGGTCTTATCTCCTTCTCCTGTACTTCACACCACTGGCTCTGCTGTCAGCCTTTAGCCACCAGGAGGCTCGGTTCCTGATTCCTCTTCTGGTACCCCTGGTCCTGCTTTGTAGTTCTCGGACCCAGCCTGTGCCCTGGAAGGGCGCCCTGATCCTCTTCAATGTGCTGGGGGCCCTCTTCTTTGGCTGCTTGCATCAGGGGGGCCTAGTACCCAGCCTGGGGCATCTGGAGCAGGTAGTCCATGCACCTGTGCTCTCGAGAGTACCTACCCATTTCACACTGCTCTTTGCCCATACCTACATGCCCCCCCGGCACCTCCTGCGCCTCCCAGGCCTGGGGTCACCTGTAAAGGTGGTAGACATGGCTGGGACGGAGGACTGGGTCCTGTGCCAAGCCCTGAACAACTTCACCAGCCAGCCTGCCTGCCAGGCAGCTGGTGGGCCGTGGCACTGCCGCCTCTTTGTGGTGACCCCTGGCACCACCAGATCTGCCATGGAGAAGTGTGGCTTCCCCCTCAAGAATGAGATGCTTGTGTTTCCCCACTTGACCATGGAGGATCCACCATCCCTGTCCTCCCTGCTGAGTAGGGCATGGAGGGACTACCTCAGCCTTCACATTGTGGAGCTAGGGGAGAAGCCTGACACTGTGACAGGGAAGCCGCTGCCCACAATTCAGCCATAGAATCTGCCTCTCCACCTTCTGCATGGGTAGCTGTGCTGGACAAGGCCCTGGTTCTCTTCCTCTCCTTTCCCTTCCAGGATTCCCACCCCTGCTGTCCTTGCTTCTATCTTCTGGGTGAGCTGCCCCCTTTTCCCTCAGAAATCAAAGATCTGACCCATCATGGTCCTGATGTCAAGGTCCCTAAAGGATCCTGGTGTAACTAATGGCACCTAATGTCTGCTCCTGCCCCACTTCTTCCAGCCACTGTGATGTGTCAAATATATCAAAGTGCCAATTGTGAAAAGAGATGATCTGCTAATGACGCTCCTGAGTGACCTCTCCCAGACCTTTCATGATGCCTTACCTCTGCTCTTGTGACAGTTCTTTGTCTACGTAGATGCCTGGAGGACAGTGTGGTGAAGTAGAGAGTGTGACTCAGAGCAGAGGACCAAATTCTAGTCCCTGGTCTGCCATTCTCTGGTGATGTGATCTTGAGCACTCCCCTTCCCCTCACCCAGCCCATTTCCCAACCCTGCAGTGGGTCAGCAGGCCTCTATGGTGTCTATGGTTAAACCTGTCATTCCTGAGCTCCTAAAGCATGGATGTGGGGGGTGTTTTGTACCTAATGACACTTTAATAGTACTGTCTCAGTGTTTGGTTGTTATCAAAACAGGCCATTCTGGATCTTTTCTCCCCACTCTCTTCTACTCCTGTCCTTGACAGAGGTGGTAGGAACTCTCTAGCCATTTCTGTACCTTACTGTTTCAGAGTCATCTTCCCAGGTTCCTTCCCCAGCAATACTGTCTGGACCCTCCCAGCCCTTACCACTAAAGACAGAGAAAGTGCAGGGTTCAATCAGGATCAGAGAGCCCTGGAGGACAGCCTGACACCCCCAGAGGCCTTTCTTCTTAAGTGTAGTTTGGTCACTCTCCAAGCTCAGAGATCCCATGTGAAACCTCTCTTCACAGCAAACCCCATGCCAAACCAATACCTGCTGCTTTGCTGGGAGCCACCACATCCTGGCAAGTTGCTCCCCACCATATGGGGTACTTCCACCCAGACCACTGGAAGCACAAGGAGCTGTGACACGCCTAAGCCTGTCCTCTTTCTGTCTTCCACACCCCTACCATCCCAACTGAGAACACAAAACACCCAGGCCACAGAGATCAGTGACCTAGAGGTCGGCGTGAAGCAGGAGACCAAATCTATGCAAATGACCGAACCCAAGCACACTGTTCTAGTTCTGCCTTTTAGCTAAAGCCTTGGGTCACTCTAAAGCCCCACCATTTACAGGCATGCTTCTCTGTGGCTGCTGCTCGGGTTCCACAGCCTCTTCATGACCCAAGTGCCATTGAGGAAGAGGGAAGTCAGTGGTGTGCTGGTAAATACTGAACAACCGACTCTTTGAGGATTGAAAAAAAAATCTCTGATTTGCAGCATTGGCCAATTTCTGTGATGTAAATACTCTCACTATAGCCAAGTTCAAGCGACCAATATGATGTCACTGAACTCAGAGTCATGATGAGATGCCATCACTCTGCTCTCATGAGCAAGTATGAGCTAGCTCTAGCACACCATGGGACGCTTCCTTCCTGTGACCCCTATGGTACCATTCATTACATTACATTGTTCTTGTGGTTTTTGTCTATCATGAACCTCTGTTCCTCTTTACACTGCTAGTGCTTAGCAATGTATATGGCATGTGGCAAGCACTTGTTTACTTGCAGCCAAAAATGGCTTTCTGCCCAACAGATAAATGCCAAGTGCCAACTTGGAGACACTCCAGACTCTGGGACCCCAAATTCTCCTTTGGTTTTGTGGGACTCTTGCTCCTTCCACCCCAATTGGGTCTATAACCTCAGAATTCCCTGGAGGAATTGTTGGTGTAAGCAGTCTGTGTGGATTGTGGTGGTCCCTGAGCTCTAATAAAGAAATTTTCTCTAAAGTAGTATCTTGGTATCTCTCAATAGCATGAGGGAGTTAGTCTGAATTGGCCTAACAGATAGTGAGTGGGGTGAGTTGTTTTTGGAAAGCTTGAAAAGGCATGCTGGTAGACAGCTGCCTCTGGGGAGTGGTGAAAAGAAGTCTTTTTCTTTAGTAATATAGTAACTGCTAGAATGGCAGGCCACTGGGGCCAGGGGTGGCCCAAATCACCTCCAGCTGGAGCAGAAAGAAAGGTCCATATTTTCTATATCTACTCCCAGATCTCTTCTGCAAAAATAGAGGAATTAGTGTTTCCTTGTACACTTCTTCCAGGGAAAATAAGGAACTGCCCCCCTCTCTTGTTTTCCTTCCTTTCTTACAAAGTGGCCAATTTGTGTCTGAAAGCTTCGTTGCTTCCTGCACCACTTCCTTTTTTGTCTCCACCAGTTTAGAAAAAGACCCAACAGTGAGTGTGCTTGTTTGTGTGTAGTAGGGGGCTGGGCTAGGGACTGCTAATAGTTATCCAGAGACCAAAGAGGCAGACAAGGGAGGTGAACAAGCTCCTCAGACTCCAAGGAGAATCCTACTTGCCCTGGAAAGGGAGGATTTCACAGGACAGGAGGGCAGGATGCCAGACCAGGACTTTGGTCATTAGGAGAGTGGGGGGACCTCTGGCCTCAGGGAGGATTTAATAGCAGCACCTCTAATGGGAGACTGGAGGGTAAGATTCCAACTCACAAGACTCACTCACTGACCATTAGGTCAAGCTAATTTAATTTCTCTATCCTCAGTAGAAATGACAAGTGTATACTTAGCCTGAAAATATATGTTCTTGTCTTAGACTGTGTTCTCTAGAGAAACATATGTTGTTGTTATGTGCCACTGAGTTGGACCCGACTCATAGCGACTCCTCCTTGGGTTTCTGAGGCAGTATCACTATGGAAGTAGATTGCCCCTTCTTCCTTCTGAGGAGTGGCTGGTGGGTTTGAACTGCCAGCCTTCTGGTTAGCAGTCAAGTGCCTTAGGCACTAT